GAAAAAACGCATTGTAAAACATAAGTCTTTTTCCCTTCGGAAAATTTATGTTTCTAAAAAATGTATAAGTAGAAAAACGGCTGAATCTCGTAAAATACTACGTTCTTGTTTGCAGTGAGTAGATAAATCAACGAACACCGCCAAAAGTTATTTTACTGATAAGGGACTGGCCCAAAGAAAAAGGATATTTACAGAGAATTTTTGAGCATGCCTGCCGTTACGTTATCTCTTGGCGATTAAACATGTGGTGGAAAACTAGGTATGTCTCAAAAAATATTGCAATTCTTCTGTGTCTAATACCTCTGCGTATTTGAAACAATTTTCGATTTCACTTTAATTTTAATTACCTTATTGATCCAAATATAAAATAAGACTTTTTCCTCCTTAAAATGTACTGGAAATAATATCCATCTTACATAAGAAATCCAAAATTTAAAAAAATGAGTGAAAATAACCTATTACATATGCTTTTAGATTCATATTAAAGAAAAACATGTTTGCAGGGTTCCATTTTTATAATCCAGCATATCTTCACTCTTAAATTTCCATGCGTGCATTTATTTTCATATACTTGTGTATTTGTAAGTATTTTGTTTTTAATTGACTTCCAGTATTACACTGACCTTAATTCTAATTTCACGACCCAATTTTTAGCGATGAAAATGCTATTAAACTATTTATTATCTTCTTTTAGAATAATTTCAATACCAAATTCACATAAGTGTTGGCGTTTTATAAACATCCTTAATTTTGTTAACCGCGAGATTATAATTAAGTTTGAAAATTCTGAGTTCTCTGTGTAGACCTAAGACCAGAGTGTTATTAACCGAAGCCACAGTAATTCATGCAACAGGCAATAGTTCTACAAAATGAGTTATAACAATACCTAACTATGAGACTCGCGTGATTTGTAATTTATATGTGTTTACTTCGAAAATTAACATGCAACTATTTTAGAATATAATTATAGATATAAATATCACTTACATTCTCAACTGCATTAAGAGTACAATTTTCCGATTTTTACAAAATAGCTAAATTTAATCCTTCTTTGCGTAAGGTTTCGTACAGATGCATAAAAATATAACAACATAGTTACACGAATGCCCAGCAAAAGTGATTTACCTTTTGCTGCTCTCGTAAATAATGATAAGAATTTCAAACCAAGCTATTGCTCTATTCAAAACTTGAAATTACACGACACAGCTAAACAAATATGTGCAATCTACAGGAAAAGCAAAAATGACAATAATGAAAGCAGCAAATAAAGACAAAAACAGTTCTAAAAATAGCATAAGTGTAAAAAAATAGCATAAGTGAATAAATAGCACTGATGATGTCTCAAATCAGAAAGAAAAACTTCAGTTTCGCAATTACTTTATCATGTCGACACTTGATTCTTAATTTGCATTACTCACTCCATAATTCTCAGTTTCAGTAAATATAGAAGAAAATATGTCGATTAAGATAACAATATCACAATTCTTAACTTAGTCCTAGATGTATTATCACAAATAATGTTCTATAACGAACACATCATGATTGATGGATTCTGGAAAGTACTGCAAAAGGAATTGAAATCAGTACCATTGGAAATTTTACGAAAAATCCCTTCTATGATGGAAGTCACAATGCAAATTTCTAGCCCCCCCCCAGAAAAAAAAAGAATAAAAAATGAAAGAACGAGCTTCAAGTAAAATTTTTCCTGAGCTACTAAATTCGCCTATAAAATAAAGAATATATTACGTGGCTGAAATTTTGCAATCATTAAGGAATGCATCACGTACTGAAATGAAATATTTTATAAAATAATAAGTCCGTTAAAAAGATCACAACTTTTTGACTAAAATGGAAGCTTACGAACTACGATCGGAAGCTTCCATTCCAGCCGATTCTTTGAAACGTAACTTGTTTTCTCTTTTACATAATTACCTCACATGTGCTATATTCGTGTTAATTGATTTCTCTTACATTTTGCAAGATTACATATATATGTGAATAAACGAGATCAAAGATCAAGCCAAGGAATAAATACTACAAATTAATTTCTCCGAAAATAAGAAATTTGTCTGAGGAAAAGCAACAAAAAAATTGCAAGAGGTATCGAAGCTCTGACTATAACGAAAGGCTATTTAAAAAGCTCTGTAAAAAAATCACTAAAAATATAATTTACACATTAAGCTTGAAACAATGGCACTTAAAACTTAATACCTCCAATTCCTGCAATTTAAGTTTCCAGTGGAATCTCAACAAGAAGTACAAATCAGTTAAGTATAAAAGATGGTCAATACAAATATTAATGGAAGCATGAGTATCTTCCTTTAATTAACTTTCGTAACTCCTAAATCGATTATTTTTTAACATAATTAAAGATAACGTCTAAAATTTTAGGTGAGAGGTGAGTAGTTGTTTATGTTAAAGTGACTTGCTTTTAATGCATCTCCATTTTACTGCTTTATAATTTCTATTAACACGAAAATGCTGATACCTATAGTATATATCTTTAGATGTTCCAATAAAGGTGAAATTCATTTTACTTAAACGTTTAAAGAAAAACTAATTCTACACAGGAAATACTCAGAACCATCAGAGAGAAATTTCATGCTCGTAAAAATGATTTTTCTGTGAGTTTTAAATAATACTTAATAAAGATCAATAAATCATAAGGATGGTTGATTGTTTCTGACAGGCTATGCTTAAATGTCACTTATTGTCTATAACTATTTGCAACTATTAGAAAATCTCGTATTCCCACAGGAATGATATGAAAAAAGACCATTTGTGCGGAACTGCCATGTAAGCAAGTGTCATTTCAGCACTGAATTTGGCTGCTCCAGATATTAGAGTATTCTGTATATAGGAAATTAATGAATTGACAGCGCATGAAATAACGTAATTCGTGTTATGGTGCAATCAGAGTTAAAACCTCTTTGATCATTCGAGGCGAAACCGCGTTTTGAGCAAGAGGTGTGGGTTTTTATTATCAGAAATAGCCTGAGTTTTCATTATCAAAAGAAGATATCTGTGATCCCTAATTACCTTATTTGCCAGATTTCTCATTCATTGACTCCTCTCTTCATTCTTATCAAAATTATTCGACGGGGTCAATGCTTTCAGACAAGTCAAGATACTCAAAGCGATGCGATAATGCGTCTGTAATAGGTTCCAAAACAGAAGATTCACAAATACTCCCAGATCATATAAGTTTTAAATTCTGAGTATCTTTTGGCAATTCACTTAATTTCGATAATTATAGATAACTAACAATTAAATAAATGCAAATTTAGCCCTTTATAACTAATTTTTGATTTTTTAGATATTAACAATTAAGTAAATGCAAATTTAGCCCTTTATAACTAATTTTTGATTTTTTAGATATTAACAATTAAGTAAATGCAAATTTAGCCCTTTATAACTAATTTTTGATTTTTTAGATACTAACAATTAAGTAAATGCAAATTTAGCACTTTATAACTAATTTTTGATTTTTAATAAAAAAAAAAATTATATAATTTGCACGTTACACATCGCCGCCAAATCATGCCACCCACCTAGTATAGTGGTTAGTGAAACTAACTGTCGTAGCGATGGGCCTAGGTTCGAATCCTGGAGGAGGCATGGTTGTAACTGTTCGTCCCTTCACAGGTAGCAACGGTGGTCACCTGTTAGGTGCTCCCATAATGAAAGGGCCATCGTTCCAGCCCTTGTAACGGCGCAAAGCCAATAAATAAAGCGCCCTGCCATTATTTTTTTTCTTCGTTGTATTCCAATCGCTAAGCGGTACGATGGTGTGGTGTATTTAATTATGGCAAAGCACACTAGGGCTATCTGCCTAAGGGAAGGGATGCCTTCGTGGAGGACTTTCTAAAGGAAACTGGCTCGTATGCACGTTATACATGGAGATAACCACGAAAACACCCATCCCGTTCGCGGGATTCGAACCTCGGACCGAACTACCAGCGTTCAGCGATTTTACCGCTCGGCCGTTGGTGAGCCAAACGGTACGATGGACATGCTGGACTACGGATGTCTATGTAATAAGAGCCTTCAAGGAATATTAACACGTTGAGCGCCACGTCAGCCATCTGTGGCTGACACTAGATTTTCCGTTTAGGCCGCATCAGCCATCTGTGGCTGGCACTAGATTTTCCGTTTAGGCCGCGTCAGCTATCCTTGGCTGACACTAGATTTTCCGTTTAGGCCGCGTCAGTCATCTGTGGTTGACACTAGAATTTCCGTTTAGGCCGCGTCAGACTTCTATGGCTGACACTAGATTTTCCGTTTAGGCCGCGTCAGCTATCCTTGGCTGACACTAGATTTTCCGTTTAGGCCGCGTCAGCTATCCTTGGCTGACACTAGATTTTCCGTTTAGGCCGCGTCAGTCATCTGTGGCTGCACTAAACTTTCCGTTTAGGTCGCTTCAGCCATTTGTGGCTGACACTAGACCTTTTCGTTTAGGCCGCGTCGACCGCCGCTGGCTGACAGCGTGTAACATGATATATAACTATAAAATTTACACTTTTATGAAATTACACGAAATTTATTTAAAATTTACTTAATTTTGATTCATGATTTGATTTTAATTCATTGGATTTGATTGAAACAAAGTAAATATAAAACAGTTCTCCGTTACAGCTATTACAAAATGTGACAACACTCTTTTACCATTACTCTACCAGCTTCTGTTGCATTTTTATCATAACATAATTTACAATATTTTCGTACTTCAGAGGCTTTTCCCGGTTTTCTTCGGAGTTTATGTTGTCGTTTTTTAGAGATTCCTGCATTTTTGTTCGACGGAATGTCTTCTTTTTCACAACTTGTTGCTATCTTCTACCGCGATACGAATCACTGGCCCTACAATACCAGAGCTTTTAAGCGAAGCGCGTGGCCTGAACGGGATTGCCTAAAACATACGCGTGGCGCTCAACGTGTTAATTATAATTATTTCTTAAAAGCACAATTTAAAATAGCTTTATTATTATTTATTAAATATTTACCAGTCTTCTTGCGGGTCGCATAGCATTTGATCTGGCTGTCACACCGTTTTTATAGATAGCACAGGAATTGCAGATGAATTGGCCAGTGCTGTCCCGTCTCCAAGGGCTACTGTCTGTTCCTCCACATACCGCACATTGATGTTGTGGAGGTTCTGGAATCCTGCTGTATTCGGGAGGAGGTTCCGCTGTAATGCAAAACTAAGTATATATTCTCAAATATAAAAATACATGTACTTAATTGCAACTAGAAAACTTAAATCTATAATTTTTAGTATTTAATTGCTACTAGAAAGCTTTTAAAATGCAATAAGTAGATTTTCAACAAAATAACACTTATGAAAAGCAAGATGAAAATGTCTGACATAAATCAAAGCAAGATTTCCTTTTGTTTTCGAATATTTCAATATGTGTATGTGAAAAAGAAAGTATAGTATTTTTTTATTTATAAAAGAATAAAAGTTTAAAGAATTATCCTAACATTTACATGCTTTTATGGCGTAAATAACAGCACGGTTAACTAGCAATAGGATTATCCCGTGAGAGCGCAGTTAATTTATCATATCTTTTTCTTTGCAAAACTAGTTGCAGTACGCTATTAATGGAAATATTTTTCATAACATTTTAAAATTTATTAAAATAAATGTATCCGAAGCACGCACATCAGGAAATCTGAAAGCAGCACTGCCAGATATTATAACATGCAAGCTTTAAAGGTTCTACTTTTAATGAAGATAAAGTTATAGATTCATACTTTATTAAACAAGTTCATTTGTTACATTGTAAGTTAACAATATTAAATCCGTATATTCAGGTACAAACTAAAGTGATCTAAATGTATAAAATTCGTTGTATATTTGATACCAGAAACATTCTGTCCCGAATATATTTATAATTTTAAAATTAAGTTCCACAGACACAATATATCTCATTGCCCAATTCTGTGATCTTCGGTTATTCTAAATAATCATGTAACGCCATCATTTATTTATTTCATTTAATAATTTATTTCGATGTATATCATTTAAGTTATATTTGCAGGTGAAAATACCGCGGACGAAAACATCGTAGAGAAAAACAATGCAAGTAGAAAACAGTAGTACAAAACATCGTAGAAGAAAAGTACGTAAGGGGGAGAAACACCGCGGTTCCAAAATAGCATGATGTAAAACATCTTCATAGAAAATAATGTGGTTCAAAAACATCGCAGTTTCAAAACATTGTAAAATATAATACAGTGGTGAAAAATGAAGCACCTGCAAATTATCTTATGACGATAACTATCCAGCCACGTCTTTTCAGATTTTAAAGTTGCAAATGCATGTTCTCATAATGATTTGCGAACGCAAGAACAAATAGGAATATTTTTACCTCTATATTTCGTATTTTCGAATTAACTGATAAATTTTTAAAGAAAAAACAAGAAAGAATCTTAAACATTCAAAATCCTGAGATTGAGCAGAAAAATAATGCTAGTTAATGAAATTTTAAACTTATGCAATTAACTATCAACTATTAATTATTTAATTACTCTCTTTTATAAAACTGGATTAGAAGTAATCTCTTTATAATTTTAGATTAGTTGGGCGAATATAATATTTTTATATTATATATATAAAATTTTTAAAATCTGAAAACACGTCTGCTATGATTTGTAGGTGCTTTATTTTTTACCCCGATATTTTATACGACGATGTTTTAAATCTACGAATTTGACCAGCTTTATTTTCTACGACGATGTTTTAGAACTGCGATGCTTTTTTCTTGCTTTATTTCCTGCCACAACGTTTTCTTACGACGATGTTTACCCCTTGTGTTACTTTCTCCACGACATCTTCGTCCGCTACGTTTTTTTTTTTTTTTTTTTTCGGCGGACACTCTTGTACACAGGGCTTTTATAGCTGTTACATCTACAAAAAATAACCTTAGATAATGAAACAAAGCTTTCTTTATAAAGCGATCCTATCGATTGATGTTGAAATCTGTAATACCAAACAAGATACTTATGAAAACTAAAATAACGTACTTGTTGTGAACTTTAGCAACTAAGAGTAGAATTCAAACTCGTGGTAAATGACTTTGAATATTTTAGGTCACTTAAATAATAAGATTTACTACTGTAATTAAATTACCGATTTTATAAAAAGAGTCGCAAAGCTGAAAGTTTTAAATTGTTAGGATAATTATTCTCATGGAGATCGGTAGAGAGGATTCGATTATTCGATAGCGGTAAAGCACATTATAGCCATTTGCTAATGGAGAGTATTTTCATCGACTGTTTTAGGATAAAATCTATCCTATACAGGAAAATTACATTGTGGATAATATGATATCTAATCTATAATGTATCACAATTAAAAAAAGCTCTCAATTATTCAAAGCTGGAAATGCTGTAAAATGTATATTCAGTAATATCTGTTTATAAAAATTAAATTTCATTTACTATACTGTGATCTTCGGCTGTCTGGCAAGTAAGACGAAGTTATGGAAGGCAAAGTGGCCCATCCGGCCGCTTCGTTGCCAGAGGTTAACATGTAAGCAGGATTGCCAGTGAATGCACTGTAGCTGTTTCTGCCATTGGAACCCACGTCGTTGGTTTCCAGACTGGGACTTCCTAGACCAGAACTGAAAGGATAGCCGCTTCCATTGTTGTTGGTTACAGCAGCACCCCACATCGGGTGGGCGTTGGTATGCGTCACATCTTGAGTAGGATACTGAAGTGTGTACAAAACACTGCCTGATGGTGACATAGCTCTTGGACTGTCGTTATCATAGCCTAATGAAAACAAATAAAGTATTAAATAGGAATCACCTACAAACACTAATATAAAGAACATTTTTTTAACAATTATCAGAACGAAAATCGAGTTATTAGCAGCAGAAAGGTTCCGCAGATGTAAGATAAATTACACTGAAAATTATTTCTGCAGATATAGTAGAAATAGCTCTCCGTATATTTTATGTATAACATTTTCTCCCCAGTAAAATGTACGTAACTAATATTCGTTGTTTATTTTATTAGCGCTCTCAGAATGAGTCGTGTTCAGAAGTAATTAGTATGTTCCGAATCCTTTTCTTACGATAATTCGAAATGTTTTTTTTTTTTTTTTTAAATAGAATCGTAGTAGCTGTTGTTCGAATTCACAATTTCTCAAGTACTCTTTAAACTTTTATATAACGTACCCTTGGTTGTTAAGCCTATCATCAGATAGAGAGGCACCGCGCAGCAGAATTGAGTACCCACAGAGATTGCATTGAGTGGCAAAATACCTATCGCTTGCCCTGCTGTGTGCTTTTATTTTGCTACGTATTCATGACTACAACTTAAATTATCGTAGCGTGTTAGAAGTTCGGAACACTTTGGTGACTAGCAATGTTCAAGTAAGAGACACAAAGTGATTTAGAAAAGCAACTGAGATTTCAAAAAGGGATAGGGTTTTAAGAAAAGCATTTGGGAAAATGATGTTGAAGTCTCAGGACAAGATGAGCGAGATACAAGTGAAGAAAGAAATAGTAAAAATGATTATTTCAGTTATACAGCAAATTGTTTTATCAAGAGGTAGTATAAAACAGCAAATAGACATAAAACTTTTCCGAAACAGTTAAAGCCAGAACTCATAACAGTGCTACTCAATTTCTTGCAAAAGCAAATTCCCGATTAATCCCATAATATATTTCCTGCAGTATATATTAGCATATCGTTCTGTTTTATCAGACTGCTTAAATAAAATGCTTTGAAATGATTTGTAATAATTAAGATATTGATGTGACTAGCATAATAGTTTAAAATTTAAAACTATTAATTTCTAATGGTATTAATTACTTAAATGCGCATAATTGCATTTTATTTGATTAATAATTAATGTTAATTGATTAATGAAAACAACTGTATTTAAAATGTTCGTAAATGCATACAGATATTAAAACTGTATGCAATTGCACGCACAGTTTTAAATTGTAATATTCAGTTTTAAATAATATATAAGTGCACTGAGAGAAACAATGTCCTAATTTTCGTGAGACCAATGAAGGCTTAGATTGAGATGATTTCTGTCAAGAGAACTAACTTTTGAATTAACTCCCTATTTCTATGGCCTTGGAAAAAAATTTTGAAACGGGACCACAGTGCTATATGTCGTAAGTAAGGAAAAAACTTAACTAAACTGATGTAAAAAGAAAATTCCTTTCATAATCAAAGCTTCAAATTTTTTAATGACTGTCCTGGAGAAAAAATATTACATTATTATTAGTTAAGTTTTTGAAGAAAAGTAATAAATAGTGACATAATTAAAAAATAAACTCAAATTAATATAAATTTATATTGAAAAGTTCGTTTCAAAATAAGATTATAGAAAAATATATCATGTGAGTCGAAGAAATGAAGCAGAACTCTTCCTTTGATGTAAAAATTGAACCTATATATAAAAAGAAGGACTACGATAAAATGTATTCTAAAGATTAGGAAGGTATTCTAAAGATTACTAAATTTTCAAAATTTCTATTACAATTATTTAATGAAAATAGCATGCTAAGGTACATGAAATCGAAACCTTGCCTCCAATCAAACTACATGAAAAATACACTTCTGTTGCTCTTTCTATTAGGCTGAAAGTTAAGTTTTTCCAAAGCTGCACTTAAATGCATATTGATTTTATATTAACTCTTTTTTCATCTATATTTTGCAGTTCTTTTTGAAAATGTCATTGACTGTCATTTTTGATGCCTCTCAATGCATAGAAATCAATGGTTATTAGCTAATTTTCGCTTTCTGGGAAGATAGGATAAAAATGTCTCACTGAAATTTTCCAATCAAGCGAAGGCAGAATTTACAAATACAGCTGAAATATCTAAAGACAGAAAAAAAAGTAGTTGACTATTTGCATTATAATAAATTCCTGAGCGTTGCCTATAGTTTGAAAATATTGCTTCAAAAATGTTTATACCTCTACGCTGCTTTAAAGCATAATTTACTATAAATTTCAACCATTTAACAATCTCCCATCTACTTGATCTATATGCCTTAACTTAAAAACAAAATCACTTTCATAATTAAAAAAAAGATTCCAGTGTTTAATAATTACTTACCTCACGACTGTTGGTATCTTAATCTGAAAACTACGTTTGCCTTTAAAAGATTGCTTTTATCATTGAAGAGATAATGTTCTTTTATCTTTTGCGTTCCTGATTAAGATATATATATATAAGCAACTATTCATGTAAATTTAGTATCGCCTGTTCAAGCTACAATTTCGTTTTTTGCTCCTAAGTTATGTGTTAAAATTCGCCAGATAATTCTTATAGGTAAACAATAACTACCGATTACCATAATGCTTTTAATGGATGATTATTTGGATTAGTTCTAAAGTGAAGTTAATCCAAACAGCTAAAAACGATAACTAAAAAAGTCCCTAAACATCTAAAAAGGACTACGGGAAACCTGTAGAGTATTATATATCATCTAACAAATGATTATGTTTTCAGCCTTCACTATAACTTCACCTTTTCCGTAGTCTTCACCACGATGCAAGGAAATTTACTTTTATGCAAAGAGGATGGCAACAAATTGGAAGTTTTTACTAAGCAAGCATTACTTCCATGGCCTTTCATGAAAAAGAAACCTTTAAAGGTGTCTTTCTTGCTGTAGGTATATTAAGATTAAAAACTTTAAAAAAAAAAAAAAAAAAAAAAAAAAAAAAAAAAAAAAATGAAATGTTTCAGATTTTAATTACGTCCGAGGGGCGTTTTTTAACATTTTGTGTGTTACCTTTCTTTAAATATCATGTTCCTCGACTTAAACCATAAGAATCCAGGCAACAGCATATCGCAAATAGTTTTAAAACAATATCTTAGAATTTCCGATACAGAGACTCACGCGCTGGAGATAAAATTTTTTTTTTCTGCACAACGTTGCCATTGCTCGCTTTGAAATCCTTGAGTTTGTTAATCAAAAATTCGTCAAAGTTTTAAAAATAGGAATCGATCATAAAAAATTTCAATTCAAATTTGGTCTTCCACTGCTCATATTCGTGGAGGATTACGTTATTCAAATTCGATACTCTATGTACCGTTTTTTTCACAATACGAGAATATACTACATTTATGCAGATTTTATGATTAATTTTTTCTTCAATATAATGCAGTCTCTAACCTTTTGTGCACAGTTTGAAAAGTGAACCGACATTTATGAGTCCGACGCAAAATGCCAAAATGAAACTAATAGTCTTTCGGGATTCAAATCCCTTTGGACTAAAAATAGTAGCGACTGCTGTATGCCCTGAAATCAACTAAGCCAAGACTGGAAGTGCAGCACGTGTAGGCAAGCACGGACTGCAGTTTAATTAAATGCCATAGATAAAACTTAGTTCAGATTAGATAAAATTCAGATAAATTCGGAGTATTTCAAAAAGGGTTAATAAATATGACATCAGTACGAACCTCAACAACCTTGCAGAATTTTCAGTTATTAATTCTATTTCCTAAACATAACTAAAACAATATTAAAATTTGGTTTAGAGAAATTTTTACGTTTTATCTCATTTTAACACAATGCTTTAACCCTCAGTGAGAAATCAAGAGTAACCTACCTTATATGGCCATTCGAACTGCACTAAAATTTAATCTCCAATAAAAATTAAACGTATGTAGCTGAAAAAATTTTGCTCGTAACTAATTTTTTCTCCTACGCTTCTTCCCAGATGTACCCGTTTTAGATGTTCATGTACACATGGGTATTTAAAAGTGAACTTTCAGTCAAGAAACTATAAAAGCATAAAAGAAATAAGATCTGATGTGGACACCACATGACTTTCTTGTATGGCCTGTTAAATTATACACATTTTTTACT